ATTAGGTCATCCCCAGTAGCCAGTACCAGGTCAAGCAGCGCTTTAACTCTCGTTGGCCTGTAAACTTCTTGAGTCAGGTAGAGGTCATCCATGAACAATAGGAAGCTTTGCAACTGCTCGGATTTTGCTGAGTGATCCTCCCATGAGATGTCTGGGTAATTGAAGTCACCCATGACAACCATGGTCCTGGAGCATGTGGCCTCAGCCAGTTCCCGGGTGAACTCCTGGTCAAGCTCTTGATTTTGGGTGGGTGGTCTGTAGTAGACTCCCACCATTGTGTCCCCTGTGCCATGTTCCCCATGGATGTTAACCCAGAGGGTCTCCAGTCATCCACCCTGGTCACCAACATCAGCTTGCAGGGACACGTAGCTTTCCTTAACATAGAGTGCTACACCCCCACCCCTTTTATCTACTCGATCTATCCTGTACAAGGTATAGCCATCTATACCCATGGTCCAGTCATGGGTGGAGTCCCACCAGGTCTCCGTTATCCCTATGATGTCATAATTATTTGCGTTAAGCAGGAGGATGAGTTCTTCCTGCTTATTCTCCAAGCTCCTGGCATTTGTGTACAGGCAGGCAAGTGTCTCCTTGGGGGGCTCTTGCCTTGCCCACAGATTGTACCAGGGCTAGAGCAGGGGTGGGCTCCCTTAAGTGCCTTGGCCTGCTGGCTTTGCAAGGGTTGCTCAGCGAGCCAGCAGTGGCAGTAGTCCCCTCGTCCCCCAGCGGGCTTAGTTTAAAGCCCGGTGGAGCAGGTCAGCCAGTCTGGATGAGAAGAGCCTCCTCCCCAGGGGAGAGAGGTGGTGGCCATCTCTTCCCAGCAGCGCACTGCCTCTCTCACTGAAGAGGGGCTATGGTCATGGAAGCCAAAGCCTTCCCGATGACACCAGCGCCCCAGACCCTTTAGCCCTGCTCCCAAATCCCTGTAGCACCTCATGACCTGGCTAGGAGCGCTCCGAGCCGCGTCATCGGTGCCCACATGAATAAGGAGCATGGTGGTCTGTGGGCTGGAGGAGCTTAGGGATCTTCTCCGCAATGTCTCAGATGCAAGCCCCTGGAAGCAGCAGACTTCCTGGGCTAAGGGGTCAGGGCGGCAGATTACCCCCTCAGTCCCCCTCAGGATGGAGTCTCCCACAACAAACACTTTGCGTTTCATCTTGGGGAGAGTGGGGGCGGTAGCTGCAGTTGGGCCTGTGTTGCCTGCAGGAGCTGGCAACGTAGCAGGCTTTGCTGGGGCTGCAGGAGGTTCATACCTGTTGCTAAGCTCTGGCGGGGCAGGGGCCTTGGTGCAGCAGGGCTTAGGGCCCTTGACCACCTTGGTCCATCCCCATGACTGGACAGAATGGGAAGTCCCAGAGTCCTCCCGTGTCCTGGAGGGAGACCGTGGTCTACCCTCCGGCTCCCGGGGGAGAAGGGCCTGGCAGTAGGAGTCAATCTCCTGGTCACAGTCCCTGATGGCACACAGTCTCTGGACTGTGACCTGGAGTTCCTCCAGCTGGCATGCCAGATGCCCCAAAAGGGAGAAGACCCCACAAGGGGAGGTAGTCATGCTCCCAGGCTCCAGAGTCTGAAAAACGGACAGGCAGCCCCCGCAGCTGAGAGCCAGGGACTCCATCTGTATGGAGCCTGGAACCATGGGCTTTGTGTGGGTGGCCATCTGAGGTGCCATAGTGGGTCCTGCAGATCCCAAGGGGTGCGGCGTGTGCCCACCCATATCATGCTGCTGGTAGGCTGGTTACGGCTGGGATTGTCTATGCTGGGGGGCTCACAGGCAGGGCTTTGGGCCCTTCCGCATGCCCTCCTGCACAAACTCCACGCTAACTCATGCGCCTGCAGACAGGCATGTCTGTTTGTGCAACCTGTTCGCGTGGCTCCCTGGGGGCCTGGGCAAAGTAGGGGCCTGAGTGCCCAGCTCCCACTCAGCCACCTCCTCCCACTCTCTAAGGGTTAACCCCCTCCCACCAGGGCCCCCGCTTACCTCCAGCTGTGCTGGGGGTTGGCGGGGGGGCTCCACGGCTGCTGGGAGGTCTCTGGGGGGCTTCGGGGGAGTGGGGGTACAGTGGGCTTTCTCCTACGTCTCTCGCCACTCCCGGAGCCTGAGGCTTTTTTGCTGTTGGCGGGCCCTTTTAAACTACGCGCATGCGCAGTGGGCCTGCCATCGATGAAACTGCTCTCGGGCTATGGGGGAGCCCTGCCCAGGATTTGCGGGACCCTGACCTACTGGAGAGGGACTGGTAAGTACCCTCCCCCTACTTCTCTCGCTTCCTGGGGGGCTGGGCCAAGTAGGGGCCTGGGTGGGTCCAGACCCTGCCTGGATCCCACTCAGCCGCCTCCTTCCACTCTAAAGGTTAACCCCCTCCCACCATGGGACCTGCTTACCTCCGGCTGTGCTGGGGGTCAGCGGGGGGCTCCACGGCTACTGGAGGGTCTCTGGGGGGGCTTTGGGGGGGCGGGGGCACAGCGGGCTTTCACCTGCGCATCTCCCGCCGCCCCCGGAGCCTAACTGAGGCTTTTTTGCTGCTGGCGGGCCCTTTTAAACTACGTGCATGCGCAGTGGGTCCACCATCAATGAATCTGCTCTCAGGCTAGGCGGGGCCCTGCCCAGGATTTGGGGGACCCTGCCCCACTGGAGAGGGATTGGTAAGTACCCTCCCCCTACCTCTCTCTCTCTGAGGGGCCTGGACGGGGCTAGACCCGGCCCAGCTCCCACTCAGGTTACCATATTTCCATTAAAAAATAAATAAAAAGGTGCCCTGGTGCAGCCCAATCCATTGTCTGTCACTCCAGGACTTAGGCCCCTAAGCCATCCTGCTGTCCCTAACTCATGACCTGGGCACCCCTGACCCTGCCAGTGCCCCTCACTCCCAAACTGTAGTACTCTGCCCCCTATGTGTCATGATGTTTCCCCTTGGGGCCTTACTGTTTTTTCCAGTTTTACAAGTTAAACAACCCTGAATGTTGCAAATAACTTTATTTGGCAGTTATGACAGCAAAGCCAGAAACAAAGCCCAGGACCCTGGCCTGATGATCTCCTGTTGGCTGCCCACATTGAAAGAAAAGAAGACAGAAAAGTTTTTTACATAATTAACCTTTGCTGATTTATTAACCAAGGTAACCATTATCAAAAAGCTGTACTCTTCAACTTTTTAAACCACAGGCAATAAACAGCGAGTTTCATTACAAGACCTTTTTTACCAACACACAGTAACCATAGACATTGTTTATGCTTAAATTAACAAACAAGATCAATAATCAGCAATAGTCAGCTACTATCACTGAACATAAGCAATACTGGTTTTCTATGTTTCTGAGATGAGCTGCCCTTCTCTCTCACTTTCCCGTGAATGCCTCCTGCTGCATTACCCGGTTGACACTTAGCCACAGCTTGATATGCCTGTCCTGGTATCTCCTGCAATGACACCATGCAGCTACTGATGGACCTGAAGATTCTATCTGTCTGGGCAACGTTATCAGGCTTCCTATGTGGTCTGTGTTTTTTTCAGTGGTGGTAATGGTGGCAGTGATGGCGGTGTAACAACTGGAGCTGAAATTCAAGGAATGAAGGTGAGGAATTATTCTGTGCTCTGTGAATCAGATGAGCAGATGAGGAAAAAAAACACCAAGTAGGGCTTTTCTGCCTGCCTGTCCAAGTTGTTGAACTGCAGACCCTGTACAGCTGCAAACAAGTTACCAGCCAAGCTCTGTGCTTTGCGTTGCCTTTCACCTTCCTGCATGACAATCCAATTCAATCCCCCCCACCTGCCAGTTAGTTATTGGTTGTATTAACTCCTCACCCCCACCCTCTCATGTCAGTTGTCACATTTCAGAAGGATGATAGCATCATAAAACCGTAGGATCAATCACCTTTCTAGTGAGTAATTATCCCACTAATCTGGATTTCACTGGGAGAAGGGAAAGCATCTATCTTGGTGCTGCTGCTTAAATTCCCTATGGCTTTTGGTGAGAAAAATTATAATTAGAGTTCTAGTAGCGTCTTGCTGACAGATATGGTCAAGAGATGTACAAAGTCATGTGTCTGATTTACAAAGACAAGTGACTTGGAAGCATTATTCCCTATGAAAGTTACTAAGATTTAGACTTAGTAAACATTGAGCCTCAGTGGGTGCGTTTACATGAGATGCTGACTGCACAGTAGCCAAAAAAATACTGTTCAGTAGCATGTCACAGCACAGGAACAGTATTATTAAGCTACTGCACAGTAGCATTGCCTAAAAGATGTTCACTGGCACTACAGTGCAGTAACTCTAGTTGCTGTGCATTTATTTAGTCCTTGCTAATACAAGTGCTGTGACAGGGCGGTTAACACACACTGCCACAAGCACATGAGAGAAGTAAAGAGAGAAGACTCTTACTGGGGTGAACCCAGACAAAGGAAAAGATGCAGCAAACCTGGGTGGGAGGGATGTTGTGTCCAGGCTGATCAGGGGAATCATCTGGGGAAGCTGGGGCCATGGCAGATCAAAGACTTCGACAGTGAACCCAACTGCTCTGAGATGAACCCGGAGGGAAGAAAGAGAGGTGACCAACCCAGACAAGAAGAAAGCCACACCAGAGACCCTAAAGGGAATAGCTGAGAAAGAGAGGCAGCGGATCACATGCTGCCACAGCAGGCCCAATTGGCCAGTGCATGAGATTAAAGGGATGCCAACAAAGTAGTCAGGGTTGATCCCCAGGAAAGAAGAATGAGACAGAAATGTGGAGAGACCACAACAGAGGGGGATTGACCCCGGGACTTGGAGGGGAGTCCCGGCAACTGATTTACCTGAGAAAAGTTGGAGACAAGGTGATGATGAGGCAGCCAGTGAGTCAAATCCGAGAGGATGAAATGAGCTTCTCTGGAGACCTGGAAGATAAGAGGGGCAAAAGAGAGGTTATAACCCAGCAGGGTAATCATTCCAGTCCCAGCCCTGAGTGTCAAGGGCAGGATTTGAACCAGGGAGCAACTGGCTTGGGACCCATGCAGGGAAGAATGAGGCAGGCAGCTGGAATAAAGGGAGTACCTTGAACAGGGACCCAATAGCCAGAAAATTAGAACTCCCAGCAGCAAAGACTAGGAACAGCAAGCCCAGAGATGCACTGCTGGATCTGGTTCTGGCCAAAGGGGATGATCTGGTGAGTGATCTGAGGATTGAAGGCAAGCTTGGTGACAGCAACCGTGATCTGATTACTTTCTCTGTCCAACACAGGGTGGTAAAATCCCTCAGTAAAACAGAAATCCTCAACTTTGGGAAGTCTGACTTCCCCAAACTCAGGAGACTGGTCAGTCAGGCACTAGGGGATCATAGGCCCCTAGTCAGGGGAGTCTATATGGAATGGTTGTTTCTAAAAAACTCAATCCTAAACGCTCAAGGGAAGTCAATCCCATCCCACAGGAAATGCAGTCAGAAGGCAGGGAAGCCCCCTTGGCTTAAAGGGAACTTCTTGGTCTCCTGAACCAAAAAAAAAGAAGCCTACACCAGATAGAAAACTGGAATCATCACCAAGGAGGACTACTCAGCATGAACCCATAACTGTAGGGAGTGGTCCAGAAAAGCCAAAGGAGCAACTGAACTTAGGCTAGCTGCCAGAATCAAGGATAACAAAAAGTCATTCTTCAGATATGTCGGAAGTTGGAGGAAGAACAAGAGCAACGTTGGTCCCCTGTGAGATCAAATGGGGCAGCTGATATCTGGTGCCTAAGAAAAGGCCAGTCTCCTAAACGATTACTTTGCATCAGTTTTTCACCCACCCTAGGGGGTCATGCTGTCAGACAGGACGCAAAACAACCAGGGCTCAAGAGATGGGCCCACAATTGACATAGATCAAGTGAAAGAACACCTTGAGAGGCTTGACATCCACAAATCCATGGGCGCAGATGGATTACACCCAAGAGTCTGAAAAGAGCTGGCGGACATCATAGCAGGCCCTATGGCCAAGATATTTGAAAGCTCATAGTGCTTGCAGTATGACAGTGATGTACCGGAAGACTGGAAAAGAGCCATCATGGTCCCAGTCTTCAAGAAAAGGAAGAAAGAAGATCCAGGGAATTACAGACCTATCAGTCTGATGTCCATCTCTGGAAAGATCTTGGAGAAAATTATCAAGGGATCCATATGCAACAGGCTAACAGAAAGCAACTTACTGAAGGCCAGGCAACATGATTTTATTCCTGGAAGGTTTTGCCTGACCAATCCCATCTCCTTCTATGACCAGGTGATGCATTGCCTGGACAGGGGAGATGAGATTGATGTAATTTATCTGGACTTCAAGAAGTCCTTTCACTTGGTCTCCCATGTTGTCCTCATGACCAAGCTGGGGAACTGCAGCCTTGACCATCTCACAATACAATGGCTGGGGAACTGGCTCCAGGGTCAGACCCAAAGGGTATTAGTTGATGGGAACAAATCAAAGTGGTGCAAGGTTACCAGTGGAGTCCCCCAGAGCTCAGTGTTTGGGCCAGTACTCTTCAATATCTTCATTAATGACCTGGATTTGGGCATCAGATTTGGACTGGCAGAGTTTGCAGATGACACTAAACTACAAGGGAAGGCCGTCATGCTGGAGGATAAGCTGGGCATATAGGCTGACCTGGACATGCTTGCAAAGTGGGCAGACCAAAACCTGATGGCATTCAATGTAGAGAAATGCAGGGTACTCCACCTTTGGAGAAAAAAACAGCATCACACTTATAGGCTTGGTGGTGGGACACTCGCTAGCACCATGACTGAAAGGGCCTGGGGGGGTCTTGATTCACCACAAGATGGAAATGAGCCCCCCCAATGCGATGCCGTGGCCAGCAGAGCAAACCAAACTCTGGCATATACATACCAATTCATGTTGAGCAAAACCAGGGACGTCATCCTCCCACTTTACTCAGCCTTAGTGAGGCTGCAGCTGGAGTACTGCATCCAGTTTTGGGCCTCCCACTTTAGGAGGGCTGTGGATAAGCTTGAGAGAGTCCAGAGGATAGCCAGCCATGTGATCAAAGGCCAAGAGAGCAAGCCTTATGAGGGGAGGCTGAGAGACATTCTGTCTGGTGAAGAGAAGCCTCAGGGGAGACTTGGTGGCTGCCTACAAGTATATAAGAGAGGGGGGTGTCAGGATCTGGGAGAACAGTTGTTCACCAGGGCTCCCCAAGGGATAACTAGGTCCAATGGCCACAAACTTCTAGAAGGATGATTCAGACTTGATATAAGAAAGAACTTCTTTACAGTCCAAGTGTCCACGGTCTGGAAAAGACTCCCCTCCCCCCCTCCCCGAGGTGGTGCAAGCACATACTTTGGACTCATTAAAAAGGCTTTTGGATGTTTATCTTGCTGGGATCATCTTATCCCTGCAGACTTCCTGCCTTTGGCGGGGGGTGGACTTGATGATCTCATGATGTCCCTTCCAGCCCCTAATGCCTATGAAAGCTATGAAATCTATGAAACATCTGGTGTGGATAGGGCAAGGTATGGGGATGGTGGAGTCCTGCAAAGAGGAGCCAACCACCTGAATCATTAACAGACATCTTGTCTCCTAGGATTGTTCCTATGTTTTCCTCCTTAACATCGAAGTCATGGCAGGGGAGTTTTAAAAAGTAACATTTCCTCCTTAACATCGAAGTCATGGCAGGGGGGTTTTAAAAAGTAACCGCCTATCCTAGCAAGGCAACAAACAGGCTCCAGGTGGGTCAGCATCAACCTTCACAAGTACTAAATAAATGCACAGTAATGACTGCACAGTAGTGTCTGATGTAGACACATCCACTAAATGGTACTGGCCACATGACTATGCAGTCATTACTACACAGTCATTACAGAGTGATCAGGTGATTGACTGTGCAGTCACACCAAGGAACAGCTCTTTTGTGATGCAGACTGTGCAGTAGCTTTTGACTACTGTGCAGTACCATCATGTCATGCTTCCTGTCACACAACACTACTGTGCATTAGTCATGGGGAACTGCACAGTCAGCATCTAATGTAGGCATGGCCACTGAGACTTACTCTCAGTAAACTTAGACTCCTAAACATTGGTTTAGAGTAACCAAAACTTAACATTTCAGTATTCCACAAAAAAACCCCAGAACTTGATTTGATACCAAATACTTCATAACATAGCTCATACTTCATAGAATTCAAAGCAAAATATTTTGGTACTCATAAGAAGAGAATGTGAAGTAAGTTGGAGAATGGTGATATTCTCCTGTATGTAATACATGGTGGTCAGAGCAGTCATCTTGGATGAGAAAGAGCGAGGTTCCATTCCTTCTCTGCTTGAGAGGATTCAAACTGATAATGGCTGAGTCAGTAGGGGCATCAGCCCTGGATACTGATTTGAAGGGAGAGCCAGAATGCCAGTCTGCAGCGAGTCCATGCCATGGTAGCAGCAAGAGCAGTAAGCTTTATGTCTTAAAAGAGTGTGGGTCAACGTTTATGGCAGGTGTGCCACAAATTAGCCCTATGACACTCCAATACCCTTCCACAGCCTGATCTGTTGCTCTGCTTTCTGCTTCCTTCTCTTTGCTTCCTATTCCATCTGCTACTCTGCTTTCTGCTCCCATCCATATTTACCACTGTACTTTCTGTCCTTTTCCCAGTCTGCAATGTGCCACATAGATGCTGCCCACGTCCCTTGTGGAATGCATGATGCAGGTTGCCTACCCCTGGCCTATAGCAGCCACCCACTATGACATCTTGTTCTTTTCCCCCTTTCCCATTCCTTTTCCCATTGACACAGCATTGTGCTAATAGCCAATATGCTTCTGCCCCTGAATGGGCCTTTACCCTGGACTGGAAGGATTCCAGGGAACATAGCTTTAACCCCCTTCTCCCTTCACCTTTGACCAAACAGTTCTTGGGACACTTTTGATCTAGTCAGGGTCACCCCTAGCAGTATCAATAGTCCTCACATGGATGAGAAACATAAGGTAGTAGTAAGAGGACTGAATGAGTCTCTGGCACCTTTCTATAACATCTTGGATTTGGACTCGGCCAGCAGCAGATCTCCGGATACAATAGGTCCAGTCAATGAATGGATGTCTCCATCTTCAGCATAAGGGTGTTGTCACTCCCAACATCATTTCTTACTAGGGGAAGGAGTATCCTTGATTCCTTAAGCCATTGGGATGAATGGTATTGCTTGTTGTGCAAGTGTAGTGTGCTCCTTCTTCCCTGATGTCAGGATTTGTTATGTGTGGTTAGGATTTGGTAATAGTGGTTAGGAATCAAAGAATCATAGAAAATTAGGGTTGGAAGGGACCTCAGGAGGTCATCTAGTCCAACACCCTGCTAAAGGCAGGACCATCCCCAACTAGATCATCCCAGCCAAAGCTCTGTCTAGCCAGGTCTTAAAAACCTCCAAGGATGCAGATTCCACCACCTTTCTGAGTAACCTGTTCCAGTGTGTTACTACCCTCCTGGTAAGAAAATTCTTCCTAATATTTAACCTAAACTCCTTTTGCTGAAGCTTGAGACCTTGTTCTGTCATCTACCACCACTGAGAACAATCTGTCTCCATCTTCTTTTGAAACTCCTGTCAGGTTGTTGAAGACTACAATTAAATCCCCTATCAGTCTTCTCTTCTATAGACTAAATAAGCCCAGTTGCCTCAGTTTTTCCTCATAGTCATGTCCCCCAGCCCTCTTTCCACTTTTTATTTCACTACATTGGATTCTATCTAATTTGCCCACATCCTTTCTGTAGTGGGGTGAAACTGAACACAGTACTTCAAATGTGGCCTCACCAGTGCTCAATAGAAGGGAATAATCACTTCCCTTGACCTGCTGGCAACACTCCTACCAATGCAGCCCAGTATGGCATTAGCCTTCTTTGCAACAAGGGCACACTGTTGTCTCATATTCAGCTTATTGTCCACTCTAACCGCCAGGTCCTTTTCTGTAGACTTGCTGCTTAGCTAGTATGTCCCCATCCTGTACTGGTGCATGGGATTGTTCTGTCCTCAGTGCAGGATTTTACACTTGTCCTTGTTGAACCTCATGAGATTTCTTTTGGCCCAATCCTCCAATTTGCTTATGTTACTCTGAATCCTAGCCCTTCATTGTATCTACTACTCCCCATAGCTTGGTGTAATCTGTAAACTTGCTAAGGTTGCACTCTATGCCATATTTCAGGTCACTGAAGAAGACATTGAACAAAACGAGACCAAGGACCAATGCCTGGAGCATTCTATTGGATCTGGGCTGCCAACTAGCCATTGAATCATTGATTACTACCCAATGAGCCAGTTTTCTATTCACTTTACAATCCATTCATCCAGCCTATACTTCCTTAGCTTGCCTGCCAGAATGGTGTGGGAGACCGTATCAAAAACCTTGCTAAAATCAAGGTATATCACATCCACTGGTCTCTCTGCATCCACAGAGTGAGTCACTTCATCATGGAAGGCAATCAGGTTTCTCAGGTATGACTTGCCTTTGGTGAATCTATGCTCCCTGTTCCTGATCACCTTCTCTTCCAAGTGCTTCAAGATGGATTCCTTGAGGATCTGCTCCATGATTTTTTCCAGAGACCGAGGTGAGGCTGACTGGAGTGACCCTCCTCTTTTTCCTTTATTAAATTTGGGCACTATGTTTGCCCTTTTCCAATTATGTGAGATATCTTCTGATCACCATAAGTTTTCAATGATGGCCAGTGGCTCTGCAATCTGTCGTACTTCTCTGCCTAGCCACCTGCCCCTGCCTCAGAAAACACCTGTTTTCTGATGGCATTCAGCAGCAGGCACTTATTACATGGGAAGCAGTCCTCCATGTAGCTGTGTTTTGGCAGGGATATGCAATTTACATTTCCCACAAAGACAAGTGAGGATCTGGATGGAATTGATTATATAGTTATATATTTATTTATTTTCTGCCCTGTTGTAAAGGTTCAGAGCAGCTTACAATATGTGGCCAGGTCATGAGCCCCGTCTCTTCACAGGGCTTCTCCAACCCCTATACTCTGTCCTCACCACACCTGTGATATTCTGGGCGTACATGCCCCTCCAGGACTCTTCCTCCCTCTTCTTCAGGTTGGTCCCATTAATCCCCCTTCCATTTATCCCTTAACTAGCTGGCCTCTGCTGACTATACTTGGCTTGTACTTCTCAGCAGGATGTCCTCTTCAGCCTGCTCACTTCACAGCTCCTCAGTTGTCCCTGCCAAGTGGCCCACAGGTTGGTTTGGAGTGGTACTGGCTGGCCCTTGCTTCTTCAGGCTCCTAGTGTCCACCCCTCTCTTTTGGCATGAACATCCACCAGACCTCTGAAATGCCCTTTCATAGCCTAGCCTCTTTGGGCTCCTTCAGCAGTAGAGGAAAATTGATTCCTCTCTCCCTGCCCTGTGAACCGGCTCCCCATCTTTTCTTTCTGCAGGAGGGACCCTGTGATAAGTCTCCGCTCACCCAGGTAGGTGTTCTTGTCTCCACCAAGGAAGTCTCTGCTGCCTCCTGCCCCCAGTAAGTACCTGTGTTCTCTGGGCTGCATCTGGATTCTGGATGTCTGCTGTCTCAGGGCTCTGCTCTGCCAGTCCACATGGCCCCTGTTGCTCCAGATGTTCACTCTCTGGGGGCTTCCTTTTATCCCCCTGCCCTTTTTTATATTCTGGCTCCTCCTCTGAGAGCCAATTCCCATAGCCATGTTTCCACATGATTTCCTGTTGTGGCCCAGGTGGGACTTTATTGGGAACACTTGGGCTCCCAGCACTCCATATCATCCTGCCTTTCCCATTGCAACTCCAGCATGGCTAAGCTGTATTCCTTCTAGTAATAGGCACCACCTCAGGTACCCTGTTATGCCTCCCCTCCCTCACAACCTTCCTGCCATGAACCCATACAAAGGTAAACCTTCCTGCCAATCCCAACCACATCTCTCTACTGTCACTCACAGTTACATGCAAGAAATATCTTTGTACCCCCCATCCCTGCCTAACTCCCCCCAAATCCCCACCTCACCCCCAGGGAGATCTCCCTAAATTCTCCCAATATTCCTCCAAAGCCTCCTCCAAAATGCAACATAACATAACTCTAAATTTATAAAAACCCAAACCAAAAAGTAAAGACAGATACTTAAGCCCCATCTCAGTCACTCCCTTAAGTACCAGCCTTCAGCATCACCTGCCTAGGAAAAATCTCATGGCTTTGTAGGACCCAAAGGCTGGCTAGGTCCTTATCCCTCAGTTTGAGTGGCCAAGATGGTGCCTCAGCTGAGCCCCAGCCTTCCCCAAAGGGGAGATGGGGGAAGGGACTGATGGCAGGCCTCCCTGGGATGAAGAATTTGCTGCCAGCTTTGCAGAGTTTGCAAACTAGCTGGGTCCTTCTTTAGAAACTCCTCCTGGACAAAGCCCACACAGGTATAGACAGAGAAGGAGCTAGCAGTAGTAGTGCTTTTGGCAGAATGATGCCTGCCAGCCATTAGAGTGCTGCTACTCTTCTTACCTCATAAAGGTTAAAACAATTTTCCCTTCACTTAACCTGTTGGTAACTCACCAATCCTACACTGAAAGAACACAGAGAGGGAACTCATTCTGAAAACTCCCACTCAAACTCCTGCATCAGCTTTCCTGTTTGCTGTATCATAATTCTTGCGGGATCTAAGGCTAGCTAAATATAGGTTATTCTGCTTGATGTTACCACACATGAAGGTGCATGTAGTAACTTGGTTGTAAAAATGTTACCATTTGTGAGTGCAGAATTGTGGGTTTACATTATGCCTACTTAAAGCTATTGTAAATGACAATAAAAGGAGAAACAAAGGCAAAGCAAGATG